TAAATGGCAAGGCTGGGCAACAGTGGCTCATGGCTGTAATCCCAGCACTTTGGGAGGCCAAGGCAGGACTGCTTGAGCCTAGGAGTTCAAGACCAGCCTGGGCAATATAGTGAGAACTCAACTCTACAAAAAAATTAACAATTAGCTAAGCGTGGTGGCGCAAGCCTGTAGTCCCAGCAACTCAGGAGGCTCTAGTGGGAGGATCGCTTAAGCCTGGGACGTGGAGGTTGCAGTGAACCAATATTGCACCACTGCACTCCAGCCTGGCAAGAGAGCAAGACCCTGTCTCCAAAAAATAAAAATAAAGAATAAATGGCAGCCAGTGAGAGAGACACGGTCTGCATCTTCTAATCCATTACATTCCGCTCATTCAAATGCCCCTACCTTTTTTCCCAGAATGTTTTACTCAAACTACAGAGCCTCATAGAGATGATAATAATGACAATATTAGGGCAGCAGACTTCCCTTTCTGCCTCAAACACACTCAGTTCTTTAAAGGTGTCACTCCCATGCCTCCTAGGCAAAAACAGATTTCAAAGACATTGTCCTTCACTCTCACCAGGCCAACTTCCAACTTTAAATCCTAAAGAAGTATTAAACTGGTTGGGCACTGTGGCTGGCACTCACGGGCTGAAGACAGCCTGGGAAACCTAGTGAGACTCCATCTTCACAAAAAAATTTTTTTAATTAGTCAGGGGTGGTGGCATGCACCTGTACTCCCAGCTACTAGGGAGGCTGTGGCAGGAGGATCACTTGAGCCTGGAAGGTCAACCCTGCAGTGAGCTATGATCATGCCACTGTACTCCAGCCTGGGTTACAGAGCCAGACCTTGTCTTGGGGAAAGAAAAAAAGTCTTGAACTCTCTTATTCCAAAACTAAACAACTAAACTTATATCATCTGCACTTCAACTAAATTTGGCCAGCATACTGCTGCAGTAAGCAATTTTTTTTTCATAAAGTTTCTCATTTTCTGACTAGTTCCTAATAATGCTATGTGTATAAATAGCAGCTTCCTTGAAGGGAAGAATTAGAAGACAAAGCAGTCTTCCACTGGAGTATCCCAGATAGCACCACGAGAATATGAGAGGGCTTTTTAAGGTCATAGGAAGGGCAGAAATCTGTCAGCAGACATTTGTATGTATGTGCATGGTGAGGAGGCAGAGAATAAAGATGTCTTTGATTCAACAACACTCACCCAAATACTTAGCACTGAAAGTCAAACAAGAAAGATCCGGCAGGGTCCAGTGGCTCACGCCATCCCAGCACTTTGGGAGGCCTACGCAGGTGGATCACTTGAGGTCAGGAGTTCCAGACCAGCCTGGCCAACATGGTGAAACCCCGTCTCTACTAAAAAAAAAAAAAAAAAAAAAAAAAAAAAAATTAGCCGGGCATCAGGAGGCTAAGGCAGGAGAATCGCTTGAACCCAGGAGGCAGAGGTTGCAGTGAGCTGAGATCGCGCCATTGCATTCCAGCCTGGGCAACAAGAGCGAAACTCTGTATCAAAAGATCCTACTTTGTAGATATAATTCTCTAACTTTCACTGAATCATAACGGAACCAAAGCTGCTTACTAGCTTTGTAGAGTAATCCAAGGGACCACTGCTGATTTCCTAACAGTAGAGTAAGATTAGATTCATAAGAAGCTTCCCCATTCCTTAACAAGAAGTGCTGCCAGGCTACCCAGAAATTCCCCTCCCGAGTCCCACTGCTGCCGTTTCGGAAACATGAGAAACCAAGTATGCTGCAATCATGGACTTTTTAGTACTGGCTCCAAAATAAACTGCGTGGGCCAAGCAAGACTGTCAATGAACTATTGTCCAATGAAAAAATAAACAACCGAAGGTCTCAGGTTTCATTTACCTAACACAGGTATCACCATAAATGACCTAGTATAATGACAGTTTCCAACCGTATTTACTAAAACAAACACGCAGCAGAAATCCTTTAGTCACTTGTAACTACACTATACTCTCAGATCAAAGTTAATCATGTCAATGGAAAGTATAGGCCGGCGGGTTCCCTGGTGATAGGTCATGATACTCTGAGCAAAGAATAAGTAATAAGGTTAGAATTCTTTAGAAGTGTTGAGGGGAAAGAAGGTAACAATAACAAAAACTCCACGTCAGGAACTGTTCTAAGTACTTTGTTGTTTATTAACTAATTTCATACCAACAATCCTCTAAGATTGATATTATCAATCCCCATTTTAAGTACGTGGAACAAAACAGCAAAGAGGCAAACAACTTGTTCAAAGATTTACAAAGCCAAGAAATTATGCGAACTGGTGAGGCTTCGGGTTCCAGAAGTCAATGTATACATAGCTTCTCCAGTTTTCACCAACAGCGACTAAAATTGGGGCCAGCGAGTTTTTAGAAGCCTATCTCTCCTTGCAAACTCTCCTTCCAGATAATTTTTGCTTTTGCAAGAGATGTCACATTTAAGCGGTAGCTTTAAAAGTGGGGACACATGAAACGAACGGCTGGGAGAGCCATTCAGCCCACTTACATATGTGCAATATTCCCCTGCAGAAAAACCCTGCTCATTGGAGCCTGGAATCCAGAGGGTCCCTGAGAGCTGCACAAACAGTCTTAAAACCAATCTACCCACAACCACGGAGCCGCCTATGCAGGCTATTCACACAGAAGACGCTCCCTGGAAGTCGGTTAGGCTATAACGAGTCTTTTGTTGAAGCGGGGCGGCGGGAGGCCCCGGAAAGCAGCCCGGCCCCCTGCGGCGCCGACAAGGAGGCCCCGAGAGACCTTGCCCTGTGCCGGTCGGCCTCTTTCACGGCGTCGAAGCAGGTCAGCGCACCCCGACCACGGGCCGGCGCGCCATCCGGTGCAGCTGGGAGTTGGGCCATGTGTCCTAGGCCGCGGCGGGGAAGGGGCGAGACCCCCGCGACCGTCGGCGTTCCCTCCCTGCCTCCATCTTTGGGTCTTCCTCTGAATGTCGCTGCTCCATCAGTCCTGGACTCCGGGCCTGAGGCCCTCCCTGCCCACACCTCCCCTCACAGCCCCGCACGGCGAGCCGGTTTCGCATCCTAGTCCCGGACCTGACCCCCGACACGGGCCCTCGAGCCGCCCCGCGCCCCTCCCTGTCCGCGAGCAGAATCCGTGACCCCTGACCTTGCCTTCCCCTCACCTTACCAGGTCCGCAACCACCTGACACGCCGCCCCCGAGCTGACGGCTCCATATTCCGGGAGCCAGCGCCAAGCTGGCCAACGCCCTCCCCTCCCCGCGATTGGCCGATAGGACAGCAGCCGCACATCCCTATTGGTTGGAGTCCCCGCAGCGGCCGGGACGCGTGGCCAGCCGACTGAGGACCGAGGCTCCGCCCACGCGGAGTCTGGATGGGGCGGCCCCTGGGGCCCCCAGCGGGAGCTGCATGCTGCATAGTTGCTGCTTGCTCTGGCCAGACCAACACAGCCCGTGGGCTGGGGAGCTCCCGTCCGCTAGCAGTCTGGGGACAGATAAGATTCCTGCCCTAGTTCGCCGTGGCGCCACGTTAGGTACTGACAGACAAGCTACGAGGTATAGCTCTATCCTGTAAAGGGTAGCCGGGCCAGGCGCGGAGGCTCACAGTTGTAATGACCAGCACTTTGAGAGACCGAGGCGGGAGGATCACTTGAGTCCAGGAGTTCGAGACCAGCCTGGGCAACAGAGTGAGACTCGGTCTCTACAAAAAATTTTAAAATTAGCCAGGCAAAGGCCGGGCGCGGTGACTCACGCCTGTACTCCCAGCACTTTGGGAGGCCGAGGCGGGCGGATCACCTGAGGTCGGGAGTTTGAGACCAGCCTGACCAACATGAAGAAACCCCGTCTCTACTAAAAATACAAAATTAGCGGGGCGTGGTGGCGCATGCCAGTAATCCCAGCTACTCGGGAGACTGAGGCAGGAGAATCGCTTGAACCCGGGAGGCGGAGGTGCGGTGAGCCGAGATGGCGCCGTTACACTCCAGCCTCGGAAACAAGAGCGAAAACTCCGTCTCAAAAAAAGAAAAAAAAAAAAAAAAAATTAGCCAGGCATCATGGCGCCCGCCTGTGGTCCCACCTGCTCGGGAGGCTGAGGTGGGAGGATCACTTGGGCCTGTGAGGGGGAGGCTGTGGTGAGACAAGGTCGTGCCACTGCACTCCAGCCTGGGTGACAGAGCAAAACCCTGTCTCAAAAAGAAAGTATAGCCACCTGACAGGAACATTTCCTCGCGCCCCAAGAGCCACATCATAGTATCTGCTGCCCCACCAAGAGCACCCCACACCTGGGAGGAACAGCGACACATCAGCTAGTGCAGCCAGTTCCACCGCCTCCGGTGTCCTCCCAAGCCTCCGCAGCGAATTGTTTTCCTCCTTCTCGCCCAGTTGCCTCGATTCTCCCCAGACTTTATCCTACCTACCCAAAGCAGTCCCACTCTATCCCCAGTTACAGCCTCACGCCTTCTTTTGTTCTGAAGATGACTGCCAGACTGGTGAAGAGGGAATAAATGGCCTAACAAATCACCGTAATTTTCTACAATGTCGTTTACAGCCACCAAAAACATTAGATTATCCCGCCACCCTCACTCCCCGACCCCCCGCACTGCTTACAGCATTAAAGGTAACGGAGCTTCTTTATTCACGTAAAAACGGCTAGGAGAAAATTTCATTAGTAAGAAAGTCTGAGAAATGAGGAAAGGAGTGTGAACGGCCAAGAGAAAAATTCAAATAAAGTGCAACGTAAAAACAAACTCGGGGACTAAAAAAAAAAAGGCGGGGAGGGGCTTGCCTTCCTGGAGCAGGTTGTTTTTCATACAGAATTTCTCCTGGAGAAAAAAGAAAATACACAAATTAGTTCTGAGATTCTCGCTACAGTACATCTGTGGAGTTTCAGAAAGGTTTGATGAAGTTCCTCCAGACCAGAACCTTTCCTTTGGGAACTTCTATTATAACTAGCAAATAAAATTGCTAGAGCTGTACTTGTCACCCTTTCAGGTCTGCTCAGCTGGGCAGCTTCCCTGGGCTACTTACTTAGCTCACAGTGTGGCGCTGCCTCCGTCTTAAGCTGCTTCTTCCTCATGGTGCAGAACTAGTTTGACTTTCCCAATGCCAGCTCCTGCCTCTATATATGAAGACAAGCGCGCCTCCCTCAGTTAGATAAGGGCACTTTTGGGTGCTCTAAGCAACACAGCTTTCTAAAGACTGGCAAGGACTTTCAAGAGGCAAACCACGCCCTCCAAAGCCTAATCAGATTTCATCTTTGACCTGTCGTGAAAAGAGAAGCATTATATATCTGCCACTCCTAGATATTAATTAATAATGTATTGAGTTCAAAAACTTATTCTAAGATTTCATCTCTGTACCATTTGGCAAGAGCAAGAGCAGGTGGCAAACCTGTGAGTGCCAATGGTTGAAAGGGGTGGAGTAAGAGAAATTGCTTCCCTTCTCTGCTCCTCTTGGAGTGAAGCTGGTTCAGGCTCCACAGGTGCACTAGGACTCTGCTCCTCTGAGACGTGAGGTGAAACCATTAACCCCAAGCCTGACAGTCCACTTGTATTTTCCGCATAGGTACGTGCAGCACTGATGCAATTATGAGGAGTCTCAGAGCGTGGGTGGAAATGCTGCCTGCTCTTTTATCCCTTGGGATCTAAAGGACCCGCTGGCTTCAGCCTGGTCAATCAGTGATCCACGGGCAGACATCAGAGCCACGCAAACTCCGGACTTGGTGCCTGATGAAAAAGAAAAAGAAAGGAAAAAAAACCCAGAGACTAAAAAGAGAAGTCCAGGGCAAGCCTAGAATTTCTCAATCTGGGAGGAGGGGAGCTGAAAGAATGGGGAAATTTTGCCTCAGGGAAATAATTTAGATAACAAGCCGCAAAAGAGAAGCATTGGGATGGGGTAAAAAGCAAGAGAGAAGAAAACAGTTGCTGCTTTCAGGTAGCAGGCAGTTTTCTAGTAGCTTTCAAGAAAATCTGCTTAGTACCATAAAAACATAATGGCTTAGAATGGAAAAGAAAGAAAAGCAGTAATCGATTCAAATAAGTCAAGGCAGGCTTCCAGCAAGTGGTTCTGGTTCCTACCTAGAACAACCATTGAGTCTGGAGAAAGAATTATGGATCTTCTGCCCAGGGACCCAGATGAAAGGTCTCTTTGCTTCAGGGCTCTCTTAATCATGAAAGTCAAATAACTACAACTTGGCCTGTCTCCTGTCTTTGTTCTACATCAGGTAAGTTCCCCAAGGCAAAGCTGTCTCTGCAGATTGGGCTGGGGGCCAATTTGTTCCACTTGAGGGGAAAATAGAAGCACCTGTAAGATCACCCAGGAACTAAAGTCTCAGAAGGAAAAGGCCTATTTGAGTTTAGGAATTCTTACCCTAGACAACATAGGGAGATCCCATCTCTACGAAAAATTTAAAAATTAGCTGGGTGTAGTGGAATGTGCTTGTGGAACATCCTAGCTTCTTGGGAGGCTGAGGTGGGAGGATCACTTGAGTCCGGGAGGTCAAGACTGCAGTGCGTCGTGATCATGCCAGAGCACTCCGGCCTCTGCGACAGAGCAAGACCCTGTCTCAAAAATCTGTGTTATGAGTGTCAGGTTTAGACTATGCCAAAGGTCATGTTGAGGTCCAGAGGTAGTGGATGGATGAGCAGAAAGAACACTTGGGGGGCCATAGACAGGTGAAATATGATTTTATTCAGCAGCAGCTCTCATCAACAGCTTTCTCACACTGTCTGCCCTGTCACAGCTGCTTAGTCCGGCTCCCACACACAGTTGCGTTCCCCCTGCCTTCAGGGTCAGCAGCTTAACTCTCTCTGGGCACGAGCAAGCTGAGCTGTGTCCTGGCTCCCCTCTGTTCGTCTGCAAAAAACACACTTCATTTTTGCCTTCCTGGTCCCCAATTTATACTTAAGAGTAACTGACAACATTAATTGAATTTTTATTGTGTACCAAACACTATATTTAACACTTCACAAGCATTAATCCTCATAGTAGGCTGGCACAAAAATTCATGCCTGTAATCCCAGCACTTTGGGAGGCCGAGGCAGGCAGATCACTTGAGGCCAGGAGTTTGAGAATAGCCTGGGCAACATAGCAAGACTATGTCTCTACCAAAAAAACCAATCCTCATAATAAACTAATGGGGCAGGAACTATTATTTATTATTATTCTCATTTTGCAAATTAGGAATCTGAGACTCAGAGTATAATTTGTCTAAGGACACAGCTAGTTAGTGGCAAAGCCAGGCTTTGAACACAAATCTGTTAGACCCACGAGCCGAGACTCAACCACCACACCGTATCACCTCCATCTTGTACACCTAAAACAATTTCCTTCCATTCAAAAATTGAGACAAGAACAACACAAGGTAGTCACAGAACAGAAAACTCCAGAAGTTCAAGACTGCCGTGAACTGTGATCATGCTAATGCACTCCAACTTGGGAAACAGAGCAAGACCCTGTCTCTAAAAAAAAACAACTAAAAAGAAAACCTGTGGATTGCGGCCAGGCACAATGGTTTATGCCTATAATCCCAGCACTTTGGGAGGCCAAGGCGGGCAGATCACTGGAGCTCAGGAGTTCGGGACCAGCCTGGCCAACATGGTGAAACCCTGTTTCTACTAAAAATACAAAAGTTAGCTGCGTGTGGTGGGGGCTGCCAGTAGTCCCAGCTACTTGGGAGGCTGAGGCAGGAGAATCGCTAGAATATAGGAGGCAGAGGTTGCAGTGAGCTGAGATGGCGCCACTTCATTCCAGCAAAAAACAAACAAAACAAACAAACAAAACAAACTGTAGGTTGCAACTAGTATATTTTTTCTTTTCTTTTCTTTTCTTTTTTTTATTCTTGAGTTGGACACAGCAAGAAAACACATGTATATTTATTTTTTGTAGAGACAGGGTCTCCCTATATTGACCAGGCTAGTCTCAAACTTTAGGACTCAAGGGAACCACCTGCCTTGGCCTTCTAAAGTGCTGAAATAAAACAGAATTTTTTTTTCTTTTCCCGAGACAGAGTCTTACTCTGCCACCCAGGCTAAAATGCAGTCGCGCAATCTTGGCTCGCTGCAACCTCCACCTCCCAGGTTCAAGCAATTCTCCTGCCTCAGCCTCCCAAGTAGCTGGGATTACAGGCATGTGCCACTACAACCAGCTAATTTTTGTATTATTAGTAGAGACAGGAGTTTCACCATGTTGGCCAGGCTGGTCTCGAACTCCTGACCTTGTGATCTGCCTGTCTCAGCCTCCCAAAGTGCTGGGATGACAAGCGTGAGCCACTGCACCCAGTCAGAATTTTTAAAAAATAGAATAGAAAATATCAGAGAATGTCAAAGGCACTAAGGTAAGTGTTGTTTTGTGCAACTTTAAGAGTGTGTGCCTGTGTGTGTACGTGTGTACTGGGTTACTGTAAAATATATTTCTTGGCTGGACACGGTGGCTCTCACCTATAATCTCAGCACTTTGGGAGGCTAAGGCAGAAGGATCACTTGAGCCCAGGAGTTCACAACCAGCCAGGGTAACACAGTGAGATCCTATCTTTACAAAAAATAAAAAATTAGGCCAGGCGCGGTGGCTCACACCTATAATCCCAGCACTTTGGGAGGCTGAGGTGGGCCGATCTCTTGAGCTCAGGAGTTTGAGACCAAGTGGGCAACATGGCAAGACCTCATCTCTAAAAAAAATACAAAAATTAGCTGGGAGCGGTGGCACATGCCTATAGTCCCAGCTACTGGGGAGGCTGAGGCAGGATAATCACTTGAGCCCGGGAGGCAGAGTTTGCAATGAGCTGAGATCGCACCACTGCACTCCAGCCTGGGCAACGGGAGTGAAACCCTATCTCAAAAAATAAATAAATAAAAATAAAACTTAGCCAGGCATGGTGGTGCAAGACTGTAATCCCAGCTACTCAGAAGGCTGAGGGAGGAAAATCGCTTGAACCCAGGAGGTGGAGGTTGCAGTGAGCCAAGATCATGCCACTGCACTCCAGCCTGAGCGACAGAGCAAGACCCATCTCAAAAAAACAAAAAATCAGCCAGGCATGGTAGCCTGCTCCTATAGTCCCAGCTACTCTGGAGGCTGAGGCAGGAGGATCCCTTGAGCCCAGGAGTTCAAGGCTGCAGTGCGCTATGATTGTGTACTTCACTCCAGCCTGGGTGATAAGGTGAGACCCCATCTCTTTTTTTTTTTTTTTTGAGACAGAGTCTCACTTTGTCGCCCACACTGGGGTGCAGTGGCACGATCTCGGCTCACTGCAACCCCCACCTCCCAGGTTCAAGCGATTCTCCTGCCTCAGCCTCCCGAGTAGCTGGGACTACAGTCTTGCATCACCATGCCCAGCTAATTTTTGTATTTAGTAGATATGGGGTTTCACCATATTGGCCAGGCTGGTCTCAAACTCCTGACCTCATGATTCCTCCTCCTCGGCCTCCCAAAGTTCTGGGATTATAGGCGTGAGCCACCACACCCGGCCTGAAACCCCATCTCTTTAAAAAAAAAAAAAAATTAGCCAGGCTCAGTGGCTCACACTTGTAATCCAAGCACTGTGGGAAGCTGAGGCAGGAGGATCCTTTGAGCCTAGGAATTCAAGGTTGCAGTGAGCTATGATTATACCTCTGCACTCCAGCCTGGGTGACAGAGTGAGACTGTGTTTCCAAAAAAAAAAAAATTATTAAATAAAAAAAATATATGCCCTACCTCACATAATTGTGTTAAAATTGAGTGATATGTAAATACAAGATTATTTTATAAACTATAAAAATGTTCATAAGTCTTAGGTAAAAAACTGTATATAATATTAAGTAAACAAGTGAAATTCGATGTAGTAGAAAGTATGCAGCTAAATGTGCATTATATGATTTTGTTTTGTTGTGTTTTGTGATTGTCAGTGACAGAAACCCAATTCAAACTGCTTGTGTTCAAAAGGAGCTGAATCATTCACATAAACTGAAAAACCCAACAATACAGCTCACTGTAGGCAGGACTGAAGCTGGGGACCCAGATATCACCAGGCCACTGTCCACCTGTCCCTTTCCTTTTTTTCCCTCCCCCCACTCCTCCTCCTCCTCTTCCCCACCCCCTCCTTCTCCTTCTCTTTTTTTTTTTTTTTTTTTTTGTAATAGGGACAGGATCTCATTTTGTTGCCCAGGCTGATCTCAAACTTCTGGCTTCAAGCGATCCTCCTGCCTCAACATCCCAAAATTCTGGGATTGCAGGCTAGAGCCACTGTACCAGGCCCTGTTTCTTTCTTTCTATTTCTCACTCTCTAGTCTCTGCTTTAGAATCAGTGTGGTTTTGTTCTCAGGGAGGTTTCCCTGCATGGTAGAACAATGACCACCATCTGCACTGGGCTGACTTGATCCTTTTTCCTATAGTTCCAGCAAAAGTCCCAGGGAAACTTACTTGGGAGGCTGAGGCGGGAGGAAC